AGCTTGTCCCTGCTCTCCATGCTCGACCTGTGTCCCTCTTGTCCTCAGGAATTGAAACATCTTTCCTGTGGGAGCCTGAAGCGCTCTGCGGGGCTGTGCTTCACTATGCAGTGTCTGCCTGCAGGGCTGGAGTTCGATCTGGCGCTGCTGGAAGGGCTGTTTTTTAGGACAGATCAGTCAAATTGTGTAATGTCATCAGATCCCACAAAAAAAAAACCTGACGCTTGAGCGTCTGGGACATCTTTGCCTTCTGTTCGAGCCTGTTATCCAAGGTGCAGCCCTGTGATGAGAAGTGATGGTACCAATGTGAATCTTTTCAAATGTCCTGCAAACGTGTAACCCAGTGTTTGAGTTAATGTGCACTCGTGGGCGTCCACCCATTGAAACACCAAGATGGCCCAATTTCTGCTTTTATGGAGTTGAGTGCAATGTAATTTATTCAACTTTATATGTCACAATACAAATATTGATTAAATATGTTAGTGAGGAGTGGATTTGCTTTCTAATCCTAGAGTGGTTTGGCTTGTAAGGGTCCTTTAAAGGTCTAGTACAGCCCCCCAGACATGGGCAGGGACATCTTTCACCGCATCGACGTGGATAAAAACCGCATCGACGTGGATACAAGCACAGGGTGCGGATCCTAAACCTCATTAGTATTGCTGTGAATGCAAACTTATCTTGCTCAGAAAGGACCCAGCTCTCTAATAGATTCCTGGGAGAGTCAGCTTCCAGGTGCAGAATTCAAGAAGGGGAGATATCATAACACCAAAAAAAAAAAAAAAAAGAGAGAGAGAAGAAAAGAAGCAAGCGCAGAAATGTAGCTCTGTAGAGAGAAGTGATGGTGCCATCCATCACTGTCATCCAGTGGTCTGGGTGACATCCTGAGGTCCTTAACCAGCTCCGATGATGATGTCTATGATGACTGAAAACTGGACGTGTAACAGGCTATTGCAGAGGAACTTGTTGACTGGAAATCTGTTCACATTCAGGAACCACGCTGGGAATTGTTTTAGGTAGTCTGTCTGTCTGTGGGTTTCGATGCTCTCCAGCTGTGTGTCTGTTAGTCATAAACATGTTTTCTCCTCTTTCCTGTTAACGTGGCAGGGAAAGCATTAATGCGCGGGATGGGACGGGAATACGCACTGAGCGCGCAAGCAAATGGCAGAACTGACTTTCTTTAATAGCAACTTGCAGTGACCTCGGGCAGTGCTTGTTGCCAGCATGGATGCAAAGTTTATAGGCAGAGCTGGCAAACTTTAGTTTGATTTTTCTTGCTCTGATTTTCATATAAAATGCTGCATCTTTTAAAGAGAAAGTTGAGTTGAAGGACATAGGTTTTATGAATTGGCTCACCATTCTGCTTTCTACTTTGTTTCTGGAGAGTGGAAATGGCACATCGTGGTCCAGCCCAGCTCTAGGGTGGGAGGGCATTTTCCAGGAGGATTTCATGCCCCCATGTGACGAAGGGCAGTTGTGTCCTGTCACGGGCAGCCGTGCCCCACTGCCCCATGGGCTCCCACACTGCCACCCCGACTCTGCCAGGTTTGCCGTGCACTGCCCGCCACAGCTCTGGAGTGGGTGGCCTGGCTGGGCCAAAGTGCGAGTCAGACATAAAAATCAGAGAGGGATGAATTTCCTCCATCTCGCAAAGGAAATGAAATCTCTGTGGTCAAGAAACACATGGCTGCTGTGGTGCTAGTGAGCTGGATATAGAGCCGGAGCACGTGTTTTCACATGGGAACATCTTGCTCTGGAGAAGCAGTGAGCCACTCCTCCGTCCTCCTTGGCTTCTTGTACATAGAAGTAGAAGAATTAAAAAAGAAAAAAACAACAAACCAACCCACACAAAACTCTTGTGAGCAGTAAAGTCTTGAGGAGTTTTCAAGCCAAGAAAATACATTAACTTGTATGAAGGGTAGAAAAACAGAGCTCACCACAGCCTTTTGAAAAGTGTGATGCTCTGTGCCGTGTGGGAAAAGCATAATCGGTAAAACTACAGCACCACAGAAACAGGGACAGCGGGACGGGACAGCCATGGACAGACCAAGTGATCGGAGACAGGGTGAGAGCCTGGCGTGGTGCGGGCCATGCAGCCATGAATACCCGCTGTGTCCGCTCCTGGGAGCGGCCGTGCCCAGCAGCCACTGCCTCTTGGGTGCGAGCGAACAGTGTGTGCAATGGCCGGGGACAAGTGCAGGGATTGCTGGCGGGGAATTGCTGCTCCCGTGGGTTTCGTGGGCCAGCACCCGGGCTCAGCAGTGTGTATAATTCTCCCAATGTGTCTGGGATTTGCTTGTAGCACTCTGACTCCCAGCAGGATTTGTTTTCCATGATCAGCCCAGGCAAGCACTTGGCATTTGAGTTAAAAACCTGTGCAAGGTAGAGGACGGGAATGAGTGTGCTCCTGTGATAAATGGAGGAGCTGCAAGTTAAAGAGGAGCTTAATTGATGTTTACTCGATAGTTTGCTCTGTTAGACGAGAAAATAAGCCATATCCCAGGTCTGATTTTTTTTTTTCCACTTTATATGGATGTAAATTAGAAGCAACAGTCTTGAATTAAATGTGGTGAAAGCACCACACATGGAAGGTGAACCCAGCAAAGCCAATCTCCTGGAGCTTGTCATTTGTGCCTTCTACACTGAGTCCTGGGGGTACTTGCGCCACTGATACATTTGTGTTTTCTTGTGCAGGAGGTTGTGGATAAACAAGGTTGCTCAGAAAATAAGGATTTCACAGGGAGAGACGATCTCCTGCCTTTGGCTCTGTCTGCGTCACCTGGGATGCATGGGGGAAACTTAGCTTTATTCTTTGTTCCTCCTACCTGAATGCAAAATTCAGAGATGGTGCTGTTTAACTGCTGTGATGCTTCTACTTTTCCCAAATCAGTGTCTGTTATTTGCCGTGCACACTCAGAAATAACCTTCTGAAGAACCTGTGTCTATTTTGCTCGCTCCTGATGTCCTAAATTGACCTAAACTTGCAAAACAAAGCTGAAGTTCTAGCCACCCAAGCAAGGTTTGTCCATCTGCCTCCTGCCATATGCATACATACATCGGGGGCCCAAAAAGAGACCGTAAATCCCTAGTTGTATGGCTGTCAGACACCTTTGTTACCGCTGCCACCAGGCACCCAGCCTGACAGCCACCCCACCAAGCAGAGTGACGACCTGCAGCCGCAAAAGCTGAGGCTGCTCCTGGAGTTTCCTTCTTTCTGTGTCCAAGCTGACAGGCGCCAGCAGAGCTGCACCGGCTAAAGGGACTCTCTCACTGCACTGGGCTGTTAGCGCGTGCAGCTCACCCGCGGGGTCGGCACAGGACCCCATGTGGAAACTGCTGACGGTGGCCAAGGATCACCCAAACGTGGGGTCCCTCCTCCCCTAACACCCAGCTATTGCCTTTGTGCTTTCTCAGACCGCTGCCTGCCCGCGGCCGACGAGCCCACCTCCCCGAAGAAGGCAAAGAGCATCCCCGACCGCCGTGATGTGGAGAGCTGGTTCTCGCCCCCTTCCCCCGAGTGGGCTACCGTGAGGGTCATCCCCGAGGAGGAGATGACCGAGCACAACCTTCTCGCCATCCGAGTCATGGTCACCAGTGATGCCAGCAGGTACTTTAAAACACAAGTAAGCCTATAAAGAACCCATAAGAGCAGTTTGGTTTTCTCTGGAATGCTAAGGAAAAATATAACAAATATAGTACTGAATGTACGTACAACTGGGGGGAAAGAAAAAAAAAAAAAGAAAAAGAAAAACTGCTCAGAATAACAATTGTTCTTTACCACAGCCATAAATCCCCCAGACACATGACTCACTTTGCAGGAAATCTTCAAACATTTGCATCCCACACAGGGGCCTGAATCAGAGAGAAAAACATTGCCTTACTCAGCCCAGGTTCAGCCCTTTGCATACCAAAAAAATGTCAGTTCAGGGATCAGGGCAGTGGGTGTGTTGTGGCAAAAGGTGTATCCTGTGATGTGGCTACCTCCCATCTGGGGTATCGTCCTGCAGCTCTGCACCCCGGGCCTCTCCTGGGGCGTTCAAGGATCTGCCCAGCCCTAAGAAATCTGAAACGTGACGGTCCTCAGGGACCTGTCAGAGGAAGCCCGATTTCTGCGTACAAATTAGAATATATTGGCTTTCTGGGCAGGATTCTGTGGGCATTCATTCTGTCTGAAAATTAAATTGGTATCTCCAGAGTAAAGCCGTTTTCCTTACTGAGAACTAAAAAAGAAGATGGGAAGGAAAAAAAAGAAACAAAACAAAACAAAAAAAAACCCCAAAAAAACAACAAGCCTAAAGCCAACTGTTGCAAACACAGAGCTATTGCTCCGTAAGGAAGCTCATTATTTCAAATTCTCACTGTCCTTTAAACACCTGTTCGTGGTGTTGCATACAGCTTGCGGAGGGCGACGCTTGCAGAAATGCAACTTTCTGCAGTTCCCTGCAGTGGTTTTAAATGGCATTTGTGCTGTGCTGTTTAGGTCTGGGTGTTCCTCTGCAGAAGGACGAGCCTCTCCAGACTTCCCCTCTCCCACAGAGAACAGAGTGCCCAGGGAAGGGTTTCCTACCCATTTGACAGGCTCTCCTGCAGACCGGGTGCTTGTATCCCTCGCTAATACCCTCCGGCTCATGATGCCCGGCTTGTGGAGAGTCGGCTAATCCCTCTGATCCGAGGGATCAACTCCCTTTCCCCATGGCTGGACAGCCAGGCCCCTGGTTCCCCGCCAGCGGGACGTGGCGTGAGGGGCGACACTGTGTCTGTCACCACCGCGGCTGGTGCCAGCGGCTCCAAGGTCAACATGCCACTGCTGCTGCAGGTCGGGCGCCCTTGGCCTCGCGCTGCTCCGTCAGGCCAGCCCTTGTCTAAAAAGAGGAGACGAGAGAAATGGCAGGTGACAAGCAGCACCGCTGAGTTGGCTGTGGGGCACTCAGTGGGATGGGAACAGGGAAAGCAACCAACTTGGTGACACAGCTTTTGAGGTCAAACTTTAGGTACTTGTGAATAATGACCACCTGTCAGGCAGAGGTCAGAGGAGAAGCCTCGTGCTATAGTGCTTACCTCCTTGCCAGCCAAGGAAAATAAACTTTTTGCTCTCTAAAACAGAAATATATCCATCAACATTAATGGCAGGTCTTTTTCTTTTGTGTGGCACTCTGCCCGATCTCAGTGTGATATCTCACCATCTCAACTATCAAAGACTTCATATATTTATATTTTTATACATATATATGTGTGTGTGTGTATGTTTGACACAGCTTGAGACACTTAAAAAGCACGTGTTAGTGGTGAAATTTAAGGCCATTCTGATTCAGCCTATGGAGAGAGCAACACACCTGGAGCTGCACTCCCATCCTTGCTGAGCCTGGCATCCCAGCGTGGCTGGGCTGGGTGAAGCAGGGGTGCAGGGCTGGTGGGCACTGCCCCTGTGGCGTTTAGACCGGCTTTGTACTGTCTGCAGCTTTTCCTTTAGCTCTCCTGCCTCCTGCGCTGTGCCTTGGGCTGTTGTAATCAATCTTAACTTTCTACAAGGCCGTGCTATATAAACACAAAATAGTTTTCTCCTGCCACACCAACGGGACTACTCACGGCGTAAGCTCCTCTTTTTTTAAGACAGAGCTATTAATCATCACAACCGATCTATGAATTAGGTTAGCAATATTGTTTGCATTAAAAATAGGCCAAGTAGGCTGGTGGCACGCTTGTTTATGGCTGTGGGAACGTGGTCACAACAGAAGGCCTGAAAGTGCTCGTTCCCTACAGTCTGGTCTTGAGAGATGAAAGGAATCCCATGATTATTGAAAAAAGGAATAATAATCACTTCAAACAGTTGTTCCCCTGCCCAGAGGCAAGGTCATGATGTGTTTGCTGTTCACATGCGTTTGTGGGGCATGTTTTTAAGTACATTTAAGGAAGGAGATGCCGAAATCTATCTGCCTCTGTGATCAGCTCAGGTGCCTCATTGCACTTGCTCTTACCTGGGCTGTGCTGGTGGCTCCCAGGAGCCGGAAGACTTTGTTTCCTTATTTCCTATCATAGAATGGTTTGGGTTGGAAGGGACCTCAAAGATCATCTAGTTCCACAGTCAGGGACACCCTAGATCAGGTTGCTCAAAGCCTCATCCAACTTGGCCTTGAACACCTCCAGGGATGGGGCATCCACAACTTCTCTGGGCTTCATCTATTTCCTATAGATGGCTTTTGCATGTTTGAAGGCTGCTGAGGTAGTTTCACCCAGTCTTCTCCTCTCTAGACTAATGCTTACTATTTTCTCCAGCTTCTTGTCTAAGCCCTGTCCCATGGCCATCCTCGCCCCTCTCCTCCAGGCTCCCTCCTCCTTTTGAATCGCAGCACCCAGAAGTGGGGTCAGACCAAGCCCAACCTCTTGCTGTGGTCCAAAACCCTCCCTGCGGCTCTGCGAGGTGCCTGGCACACGATAAGAAACGATGCTCTTGCAATAACAAAGAACAAAATACCCTGATTTTACAGAGATCTCATCCGAGCTGACTGTCCTTCCGTATGCTGAATTAAATATGTTCTTATTTATTTTCTTAGCTTTCGGATATACCTGCAGAGCTTCTGTCTTGAAAGATGTTGTTTTGTCATGCTTGATGTTTTGATTTAGAAACCACTAAAATAAGCATCGATGGTTGGAGGCTGGTGCCAGGACAGCATCATCTGTGACCTCAGGGCTGAAACTGCATGGTTTCCAGCATGGGTTCCCACCAACGGCTGAAGGCATTTCCTCACCTTCCTTGGCTTTGTCTTCTGCTGACAGTGCCAGCGCAGAAGCATCCACCTTGCAGGAGGGGGCTGCACTTTCCCTGCCACTTGCAAGTGATGGGTGCTCTGCAGCCACTGTCGCCCAGAGAAGGGAGCAGGTTCCAGGTCCCAAATGGACGATGCAGTGAGGTTCAGCAATAACCGTATTTAATTCATGGGTGAAGCCTGCCTCACAGTCGGAGCAGAGTTAAGGCTGCTCTGAACTTGGCATCCTGTGAGTTCTCTACATCATGCCTCTTAATTCCAAAAATCTGTAGAGAAAAAGGTGAAAAGTGTAGAGTTTTGACCCTTATGCTTTGCTTCGAGGCCAATTATGGCATTACAAATACTGTTTCCCTTTCTCCATCTTGGCACAGCCTTGCAGGCAGAAGGGCCTGTCCCTGCTAACCAAGCAGTGGGGTGTTGCACCCCAGGTCTCTCTTGGCAGCAGTTTGATTCCAGGTGCTGAATGTAGTGGTTGCGGGTGTGAATCCGGGCAGCAGAAGTCTGATAGTGGTAGGGATATCTCGGCTGTGTAGCTCCTACAGCAAATCACAGCCCTGTAATAACAACAACAGAAAACAAAACCAAAATGAGGACGTCAGCTCTGGCTGCAAAACATCTATTTCTCTGTGGCCTGCACTGCTGTCAGCTCTGACAGTGGTGCTTGTTGCACTGAACGGGAACGAACAGTTCTGTGCCATGTGTCTTCTGACTTGTCCGACTTTGTTTCTATCTTGCCCTTTTTTCCCGTAGCTCTGAGCTGGAGTCCGATTTTAATGGCGACTCGTCAAACTCAGAGGTGAGTGAAGGACAGAACTCGCTGCTGGAGCCCCCTGCTTGCCCAGGCCCCATCCGGAGGTGGACATCACTCGCCAGGAGCCCTGTGGTCCCAGAGGAAAGCCCCAAAACATCCAAAGTTGCTGATGGTAAGCAGCATCCTGGCCCAGGGATGCTCCAGCAGCCTCTTCTGAGGGCTGAAGTTGGGTTTGGGGGAGAGGTTTTGAAGCAGAGGCTGTTGCCTGTGATGTGGCCAGGTTGTACCTGTTAACAGTGACTTTTTGGGGAAGGTTCTGCCTTTTGAGGAGTGTAGCTGAAAGATCATTTCCATGATGCAGGATAACCTGGAGTAGTTGTGCCTTGCAGGGGTGAGATGAATGCTTTCCCATCAGTAAAAAATTTAGATGTTATTAGCAGCCTGTGCAACATCTGCTGTGTTGTCCAAGCAAGGGTGACTTTGGGGAGCACTGCAGACCTCTGCGTGATTCAACTTGTATTTCTATCAATAGCTGCTTAAAATTTTTTTTATCCAGTGAAAGCCCAAGGAGGAAATGCTATAGCTAGCAGGGAGGTGGGAGAGGTTCAGGAACAGTCTGCCTCGAAATGGAAACTGCTTTCTTGAGCTGGAGGAGGTCAGGCCTCAAAGACGTGCTAAAAAACAGCCAAAGGAAGTTTGACTTCCTTTGGGAAGGAAGTGGGAAGTGAGGGCTGCCATGTTTTAGGACTTACACAGTGATGTTTTGAAGCTGTGGTGGACCCGCTGCTTCAGAAAGCATCTCCAGAGCTTTGCTGGGCTTGTGCTCTGCTGGGTTTCTCCTCTTGGAAGAGCTTGGCAGGGGATGCACAGCTGCACGTGTCTCGGGAGCTGGTGGGGCAGAGCTGCAGTGCATCAAGGCAGCTCCTCCCTGACCATGTGCAGCACAGAAGGAAAACTGTCTTTAGAGCTCCTGATGGAGACTGCTGCATCTTCTCCCTCTTGCGAGAAATTAGTGTTCTTTTCTCTGAATTTCTAACAAGGAACACCAAAAGCAGCCATTTTAGAAGATGTGTGTGTGAGCCCAGCCCCTGGGCTGCAGAGTGTTACTATGGGGCTCAGGCAAGGTGTGCAAGACCTTTCCACTCATGGAGTGGAAACCACTGGCGTTAGCTTGGGCTGGAGAGGAAGTGTGATACTGGTGGCTGGGACCACTGGCAGGTCAGCCTGAGCTTGGGACAAGCAGGATGTTTCTGCCTGGCTGGCAAAATATAGGGGATGAACTGGATGGTCAGTAAGCAGATGAAGTCATGCATTATATGAAGTCATGGACAGAAACAAGAGGGAAACTCCACGTGCCAGGTATTGTATCCCTACGGAGTTGCGCACTGGGGTCACTTGTGGCAGCTGTGCTCCGTGGGCTGTGGAGATAGAGTACCAACACCGACTCATCTCCAGAGGTACTGCTATGGGCTCAGACCTGTGCTAATGCTGACCCTCACTTTTGGGCTGGAGCGGTTGTGCTGATACAACCTGTGGACGGAGCGAGGGAGCAGCTGCCTGGACAGGGTATGCGACACACCCAGGGAAACCAGGAATTCTCCCAAAAAACTTTCTGCCTTCAGCTTTATGTGCAGCAGACCTTTGTGTCTGTGTTCTCAGGTCCTCTCATACACTGACAGCTCTTGGCTGGACCCCAAGAACCTTGATCGGGTTTGTTAATTGCATTTGCTTTTATCACTCTTGCCTGTGTGGAAAAGGCTGTGTTGAAACCAGTTTTCATTTCAGAACTCATCCATACCTGGACAGAGGGGTGAGTTTCCGAAGTGTCTCGGAAATGAGTAGAGCTCCTGGATTTTAGCAGGGTGTTTTGACTTAATTGTGTATTTAAAAATATGTGTCTATATTAAGCACCATGATATTCTGGGCTTTGCAGGCAGGTTTCTACATGAGAGATCTATGCGATGCTAAACAATTGAGGTCCTTTGATTTGTCTTCACCCAAAGCGCCTTGCCCTGGGTTTGGGGCAACTCTGAAGGGATCGTTGTGAGGAATTACCTTGTTCTTCCTTCATTCGAGGTGCCTTCTGCCAGGCTGCGCTTCTGTCAGGCATGACAGAAGAGCTGAGAAACAGTTTTGCTGAAAAAAGGCCACCAGCATTCCTTCTTTTCCCATCCCCCACCACCCCCACATCCACACGTGCATTTTTATCCCAGCAGAAAAGCAGGGATTTCATACAGTGCTTTAAGTTGACTCTCGAATAACGAAGCCCTTGTTTAGGGAAAAGAAAAGGCCAGCAGCAAACCCCAAACGACGCCCTGCAGTGTGTGACCCCGTGCGGTCACTGAAGGGGTTTTATCCTTCTGTCCTCCGCAATTTCATGCTCTCCTCCCACCGCCGCCGCTCTCCAGCGGCTTTTTCCC